TCCCCCCCCCCCCCCCCCCCCACCCCCAAGCTTCTATGGACTTCCTAAAGTACACAAACCAGACATCCCCCTCAGACCCATTTTCTACCTACCAGGCACAGTTTCACACAAACTAGCCAAGAACCAACATCAGAGACTGAAACACTTAGTCGATGGATCACTCCATTCCAACCACTCAACCCAAGAATTCCTCAATTCCCTCAAGAACATAAAAATCAACGGCGACGAGATTATGGTATCCTTTGCTGTCACAGCTTTATTCACATCATTTGACATCCCACTAGCCAAAGCAGTACTGGCCATGTTACTAAAGAAAGCAGGAACACAGACCAGCAGCACCATCAGTGATGACAACATACTCAAAGTACTAGACTTGTGCCCCACCACACACTTCGTCTTTAATGGTCAAGTATACAAACGATCAATGACACACCCATGGGGTCACCCATCTCAGGACTCCTCACAGAGACAGTCATGCTACCCGCCCCTTCATTCAACCTAAACTGTGGATCTGGTATGTGGATGACACATTTGTCATTATATAACGCACCAAACTAGAAGAGACCCACCACCTCATTAACAATGTATTAACTGAGATTAAATTCACGAGAGGAGAAGAAGAAAACAACAATCAGCTTCCGTTTCTGGATGTCAGAGTTGAACATATGATCAACGGAGAGCATACAGGAAAGCAACCAACATTGACCAAATCCTCAACTTTCACAGCAACCACCCCAAAGTCCTCAAACAAAGCTGTATCAGAACACTATTTAAACGGGCCACCATTCACTGCAACACACCAGAACTATGCAGGAAAGAGGAAGAGCACCTATACAAAATCTTCACTCTGAATGGATATCCTCACAACTTCATCTGCAGTTGGCTACTAAATAGACAACAACAAGAGGACACCGTACACCCTAACACACTGGCCACACTGCCCTACATCAAGAACATATCAGAACTGACAGTGAGACTCCTACAACCACTAGGAATTATGGTAGCGCATAAGCCCATAGCCACTCTGATAAACACTCACAAGGTTTAAAGACCCCATTCCCCACAACATACATAATCAATGTAGTTTACAAAATACCATGCAACAGCTGCCACAAACATTACATCCAACAGACGGGAAAGAAACTAGCCATCAGAACACAAGAACATCAGATAGCAGCAAAACGACACGACAAACTCTCCTTAATATCAGTACACTCGGACAATGAAGGCCATCAGTTTAGCTGGGACAACGTAGCCATAGTAGCCCAAGCCAAACATAGACATGCACGGCAATCTCTAGAGGCATGGTTCTCAACCCATAATGCAATCAACAAACGTAGAGAATTGGGCCCCATATGCAAACCTAAACAGAACAAAACTGGAAATGACACTACTCACCATAACGGACCGGACCGTATAAATTCCAAGTGGAGTAGAACAACATCGCTTCATCGGAGGCCTCACTGATGATGTTACCTAGCATGGCGATGAGACGTCTGAACGAAAACAAGCCAGCTCAGCAAGCAAGTCAAAACTTTCCCCACAACCCGAGCTACAAAACTTTGTTAAAACCTTTAAGATATATTTGTATCATGTATAAACACAGGTGACAAACTGGAGGACTGACAGGTGGCTAATGTGCCATTTTTAAGAAAGGCTGTAAGGAGAAGCTGGGAAAGTATAGACCTGTGGGTCTGACATTGGTGGTGGGTAAGTTGTTGAAGGTGATTCTGAAAGATGGGATGTACATGCTTTTGGAGAGGCAACGATTGATTAGGGATAGTCAGCATGGTTTTGTGTGAGGAAAATCATGTCTCAAACTTGATTTGAGTTTTTTTTAAATGAAGTAACCAAAAAGAGTGAGGGCAGGGCGGTAGATATTGTTTACTTTAGTAAAGCCTTTGACAAGGTTCCACGTGGTAGACCAATTAGTAAAGTTGTAAAGTTAGTAAAGGGTGAGTTTGTCAATTGGATACAGAATGCTTTAGAGGACAGAGGGTGGTGGTCAAGCATTGTTTTTCGGACTGGAGGCCTGTGACCAGTGGTGTTCCATAGGGAATGATACTAGGTATGCTTTTGTTTGTCATTTACATAAATGATTTGGATGAGAAAATAGGAGGCATGTTTAATACATTGGTGGTATAGTGGACAATGAAGAAGTTTGTCTTAGATTACAAAGAGATCTTGATCAGTTGGGTCAGTTGGCTGAGGAATAGTGGATGAAATTTAGTTTATTGCTGTTTGGTAAAACAAGCAAGGACAGGACTTATAGAACTAATGGCAGAGCCCTGGGCAGTGTTGTAGAATAGAGAGATCTAGGGGTTCAGGTACGTAATTGTTTGAAATTTGCATCACACGTAGACAGGGTGGTTAAGAAGGTGTTTAGCATGTTTGCCTTCATTATTCAGACCTTTGACTATAGAAATTGGAATGTCATGTTGACGTTGTACTGGATGTTGGTGAGGCCTCTTCTGGAGTACTGTGTGTACTTCTGGTCATCCTGTTATAGGAAGGATATTATTAAACTGAAGAGGGTTTAGAAAAAATTTACCAGGATGCTGCAAGGAATGGAGGATTTGAGATATAAAAATTGACTGGAAAGGCTGGGACTTCTTTCACTGGAGCATAGGAAGTTGAAGGGTAACGTTAGTGAGGTTTATAAAATGATGAAGAGCATTGATAAGGTGAAGAACAAGATTGTTTTCCCTAATGTGGGGGATTTCAAAACTCGGGGGCATATTTTCAAGGTGAGAGGAGAAAGATTTAAAAAGGACATGGGTGGCAATTTTTTTTTCACAGTGGTTCATGTGTGGAATGAACTGGCAGAGAAAGAGTTGGATGAAAATTTGTTAAAGTTTCAACTACAATGTTTAAAAGACATTTGGATAAGTTCGTTAATAGGAAAGGTTTAGAGGGAAATGGGCCAAGTGCAGGCAGGTGAGACTAGTTTAGCTTGGAAACATAGTCGGTGTGGACTGGTTGGACTGAAGGGTCGGTTTCCATGCTGTATAATTCTGACTGTGTTCTGAATTTCATTTCTCTGTTAAAGTGCTAACTATGTTCTTATACACAGGGAAGGTAACTTGTTTGGCTGGATTACTTCGGAGTTTTCTTTGTGGATAGAATAAGTTTGGCATTAGTAAGTTTCGGAATCAGTTTTTGAGAATTACACCTCTTAAAACGTTAAAATGGCACAAACATGTTCATTTAAAACTTTGAAGGAGACCTTTAACATAATCTGTCTGATTTGGCCATATGCTCTGCAGTGCTATTAAATTTGAGAAACTGCATGCAATTTCTTAGGGAGAAATTTTGTGTGTGTTCTGTGTAAGGCTTTGCAATTGCAAAGTAATGATTAATGATGCATGTCTTATGTTGAAGAGGGAAAATTTGTTAAAGTTTCAACAGTTAAATCAGGAAATAGGAAACATTTTATTTCTTTGCTCAACATGAATGAGATGTTGCTGAAGAATATATGTGAAATGCTTGTTTGAAATTTGATTGTACTTTTTCTCTTTTATTCAAGATTGTATGTTAACAAGACTTAAATCTATTGCGGTTCCCTTGGTAAACTTGATATAATATCTCTGAAATCTATTTCTCAGAAGTGTATTACAAAACAGAATTATACAGTAGCAGTACCTTCATTGTCAGGGATTGTTAACCAAAATGTTGTTATTGCTTCTTGAAAAATGCAGTCTTGGCACTATACCTGTTCATATAATATTTCTTCTCCACTTGGCAGGGTTTGGTCATCTGAAAATAGTTCAGCTTTGACTGAAACTTAGCCTTCCTCTTGTGAAGCCCTCCCATTTGCAAATTCTTTTTCCATCATCTGTCCTGCACAAACAATGGAAGTGGTTTTTTGTAACCTTTTATAAGCAAATTATCCTTTCTTCCCTCCTATTCCTGTTACACCTTCCACCCTTTTTGGAGAATCTGACCTTGTCCTGTGTCTTCTTTTTCTTTGTTCTCTACTTTCCTGCCTCCTGAGTTTCTTAGACGTTATGTGTTTTCTTGCTGCATGTTCATTCTAATCAACTTCTGAACCATGTTGATTCAATTTTCAGACTTCTGAAGAACGGTCCCGACCCGAAACATCAATCTTACTGCTCCTCTGATGCTGCCTAGTCTGTTGTGTTCCTCCAGCTCCACATTGTGTTATCTCTTTTTCTGTCACATCAGTTTTATGTGTGTTACAATTTTGGTGTACGTATTCTTAAAAACATGATTATCTTACTCCTTTAGCAACTGCTGGAATTGTCTTTTCTCTTTTGACATAACAAAGACAATCTTCACATTAATTATGACTCATTGTAACCTAGACCAGAAGATGAACTCTCTCCCTACCGCCCAGTCCTTTAGTTACTCTCAATCTCTCTCTCTCTCTTTTTAATTGACGCACGCATGTATGCGTGCACACATACACAACGCACACACCTTCACAAGAAGTCTCTGTTGTCTGATTCACACCTCTTGCACATCATAATAAACTGCAATGAACAAAAAAAAACTTCCTTTAATTCCTCCTTTTCTCACTAGCATTTCAGTCACCTTGTGAAAATGAACTTTTCTGTCTAGTTTCAGTTAACCTTTTGCAGTTATTTTACATTATAACGGAATCTTGTTACTCACTATTTTCTGAATTTCTGATATCAACATTGTTCATTCATTCCAAGATCTTTGATAATTTGCAATGAAATACTGAATGTGATGAAACAAAAACATTTGGCATCTTCCTGGAGTTTTCCCAAGTATTTTGTTTGTTTATCTTCTTTATTAATCCATGTCAACATTATTGGCTAAACTGAATTAACAATGGTACTTGGAAAAAATCTACATCCAACATGTCCAAAGTTCATAAATATGATATTTTGTTCCAATGTGTATCAGTTGGAGATGCTGAATTCTAATATTCTTATGGTCCTTTTGTTATTCTATGCATATGAGTGATGTACAAGTTGAATATTGGAGCTAAGCAACTTTATTTCCCCAGGTTGGATCAACAATGATGAAGATACCTCGTAAATTCCTGTCATATCTGCAGTTTCAAAAGGCTTTACGGTTTCTTCAGTTGCAATCAAGAGATGCTGGTGGAAATATAAAGCAGCTCAGATGCGTAACATCAGGTCCAGCAGCTAGTACAACATCTTCTGACTTGATTGAAGTCTTCGGGAAATTCTACTGCCGAGATGATTATACAAATATTACACCAAAAATATTGTCCAAAGTGGGGAAAAGTTTACATAACCAAAGAAATCATCCTTTATGGCTCATTAAAGAACGCATTAAGAAACATTTTTATACGCAGTATTTGAATCGTAATAGAAATCCAATGTTTTCAGTGTATGATAACCTGTCTCCTGTGGTTACCACAGAGCAGAACTTTGACAGTTTGCTCATACCAGTGGATCACGCAAGCAGGAAGAAAGGAGATAACTTTTACCTGAATCAAACTAATATGCTCCGGGCTCATACATCTGCTCATCAGCATGATCTTATTCGTGCAGGCCTCAATGCATTTCTGGTAGTGGGCGATGTCTATCGGCGAGATGAAATTGACAGCAGCCACTATCCAGTCTTCCATCAAATGGAAGGGGTCAGACTATTTTCAAAACATGAGGTAAGAGTTGACTGATATTATTCCTTAGTTACCTCTTAAACATTTGCATCAAGCAGAATTTTTATTGTTTGGTTTTGTCAGTGGATAAAGGCCAGTATCTTTTACCATGTTGTAAAACAAAGAACTGCAGAGACAAAAACAGGAGTTGCTGGAAAAGCTCAGCAGGTCTGGCAGCATCTGTGAAGAAAAAATCAGACTTAACGTTTCGGGTCCGGTGACCCTTCCTCAGAACTGCAGAGATCTGAAACAAACAAAAACAAAAATCATTGCACAACATACCCGGGAACAGGCTATTTTAGAAAAAGTAATGTGTAATATGAGACATTGTAGTGAAGGACCCTCGGCGTTAGCAATAATAACGTGAATAAAATTTGAAATTAATTTTGGGGAGAGCAACTCGGGTCTCAAAATAGTGTTGTCAACTTAAATAAGAACAACTACAGAGGTGTGAAGAAAAATTTGTCTCAAGCAACCTGGGAAAATGGACTAAGGGAAAGGTCAGTAGATGAACAGTAGCTGACATTTAAACAGATATTTCATCACTATAACAAAAATTTATTCTGATCAGAAAGAAGGACTAGATAACCACCCATGGTTAACGAAGTTTGTCAAGGGGCGTATCCAGTTGAAAACTAAAGCATTCAAAGTGGCAAAAATGAGTGGTAGGCCAGAGAATTGGGATTGTATTAGGATTTAGCAACAGATGACTAAAAAGCTAATAAAAAGGAAGAACATTGATCATGAAAGTAAACTGGCAAAAAATACAAACAACAAGAGCTTCAAAGGGTACAAGAAGACAGAGTAGCTAAAGTGAGTGTTGGACACTTGGAAGCTGCGGCTGAGGAATTGATAGTTGGGACCAGAGAAATGGCTGATAATTTGAGCCAAAATTTGGCATCAGTATACATGGTGGAGGACACTGTAAACAATCCAGGGATACAATAAAAGACTGGGGCTATTTTCCATGGAGCGTTGGAGGCTGAGGGGTGACTTTATAGAGGCTTATAAAATCATGAGGGGCATGGATAAGGTAAATAAACAAGGTTTTTTCACCGGAATGGGGGAGCCCAAAACTAGAGGGCATAGATTTAAGGTGAGAAGGGAAAGATTTAAAAAGGACCTAAAGGATAACTTTTTCTTGTAGAGAGTGGTGCGTGTATGGAATGAGTTGCCATAGGAAGTGGTGAAGGCTGGTACAATTACAACATTTAAAAGGCATCTGGATGGGTATATGAATAAGAAGATTTTAGAGGAATGTGGGCCAAATGCTGGCAAATGAGACTAGAGTAATTTAGAGTGCCAGGTTGGCATGGACGAATTGGACGACGGGTCTGTTTCCGTGCTGCACATCTCTATGATTATGAAAGCAAGTTTCTAATGGGACGAAAGGTCTTATAGCAGTCTTTATCAGTTGGGACAAAGTATTTGATAATCTAATGGGATTGAAGATAGACAAGTCACCCAGGCCTGATGGCCTGTATCCAGAGGTTTTAAGGAAGGTGTCACCAGAGATAGCAGAGGCATTGATCGAGATATTCCAGAACTCATTTGATTCCCAAAGGTTTTAGCAGATTGGAAAACTGCTAATATGACTCCCATTTCAAGGAGGGAGAGAGACCAAAGCAAGAAACTATGTATAGGCTAGTTATCTCAACATCTGTTATTGGGAAAATGCTAGTCCGTTATTAAGGAAGGAAAAGCAGGAAGTTTAGAGAAGCATAACATAATAAAAGAGAGCAATGTGTTTTTATGAAAGGGCAATCATATTTAACAAATTTGCAAGAGTGGTGTACATTAATGGTTACTGCATAAGGTGGGATCTAATAGTCTTGGGGGTAATGCTTTATCATGGATTAAGTGTTGGTTAACACACACAAGGCAGAGTTGGGATTAATGGGTCCTTTTCAGGTCGGAAAGATATTTAACCAATAGAGTACCACAAGGAGCATCAATTATTTACTATCTATATTAGTGACTTGGCAGACGGGGCAGTGTGTATTGTATCCATATTTGGTAACAATGCATAAAGAAGTGGGAGGACAGGTTATGATGAGGACAGAAAGAATCTGCAGGGGGATCTAGGTTGAGTGAGTGGCAAAAACTGTGTGAGTAAAGGGTGAAGTCACGCACTTTGGTAGGAAGAATCAAAAGGCAGACAATTATTCAAATGGGGCGAGATTCCAAAAAGTGTGGCACAGAGGGATCTGGCTGTTTTTGTGCATGAAACACACAATGTGAGTGTGCTGATGCAACAAGTAATTAAGAAAGCAAATTTAATTTTGATCTTTATTGCTCGAGAGAATGGAGTTTTAAAAACAGGGAAGTCTTGTTACAACTGTACATGATTTTGGTGAGGCAGGTCCTGGAGTATTGTGTACAGTTTTGATCCCTGTATTTAAGAAAGGATGTGCTAATTTGAAGCAGTTGAAAATAGATTCACTAAGCTCATTTTTGGGACAAAGGTGTTTACTTATCAAGAATGGTTAAACAGGTTAGGCCTTTATTTATGGGTATTTAGAAGAATGAAGTGTGATTTTGCTGAAACATACAAGATTCTGACGAGCTTGACAGAGTAGATGTTAAGCAGATGTTTCCATTAGTGGAGGCATTTCAAATTAGGGACATAGTTAAAGAACAAAAGGGACATTCATTTAAAACTGAGATACAAAGGAATTTCTTCTCCTAGAGGGTAGTGAATATTTTGAATTCTCTACCCTAGAGATTTGTGTAGGCAGGATCACTGAAAGTATTTATAAAGTAATTTTATTTATGAGGTAATTTTTAAATATGATTTGCTACAAAACAGCACTTGTCACTGACCAGATGTGGTATCAGGGCTTGTGTAATGATGTAAATAAACAGTATGTAAACAGCTATATACGGGCAGTCTCCAGTTTGCAAACAGGTTCTGTCCTGAGCCCATTTGCAATTCAATTTGGACACAAGTTGGAATACAATGCAGGACAATATAATTTGGCCATTCATAAGTACAGGAGAGGTTTGTACGCCAGATCTTTAAAATTACACCTCTGCATGGAATCGAGTTCATAAGTCAGGGACCTCATGTATATTGAAATCACCATTGTCATTGCTGAATTTTTAAGCCAATTTGTCCATCAAAAATGTTACATGAAACTTGCTATATTGCAAAATCAGTCCTGCATATCTTTATTGTATTTTTCTTTAAACTGATGGAATTACTTTATTAGGATTAACCTATGGCATTTTCAAAACAAAACTAAAGTATTGGGGGTAAGTACCATTCTCTAAGTGATTGTTAAATCACATTTTCTAGTTCGTATAACTTACCTAACCAAATAATCTTCTTTTTTTCAGTTGTTTGCTAATGTTAAAAATGGTGAAGAACTTTGCATTTTTGAGAAGGGATGCCGCACACCCTGTAAGCAAGAAAGACATACACTCGAGGCTGTTAAACTACTTGAATTTGACTTAAAGCAGACTCTAAAGAAAGTCATGATACACCTGTTTGGGAAAGGTATGTAAATTACAATAATCAATACATGATCTAACCTTAATGCTTGCATGTGACTTTCATGCTTTATTGAATTAATTCAAAATCTGGTGACACTGATAAGACAAGCATTTATTGCTCATTTGCAGTTAACATCTTGTATACAACCCTGTACCTTGCTAGGTCATTTCAGAGGATAATTAAGTCAACACTATTGTTGTGGATCTGGAATGGACTCTGCAACCTTTTTCACTGGAACAGATTTTTTAAAAAGTTGCCCAAAATGAAAGCTATTGAAAGCCACAAGATGAAAATTCAGCATGTCTGACGCAAATTCTTGGCAAATTACTAACCATCTCTGGTGGAATGCATAGTTTGCACATGTAATAAAAATAATTGCATTAAATTTAGGTATCATTTTGGAAAAGAAAAGTGAAATCAAACCAGCGCTTTCTCTGACTGGTCATATTTGTTAGATTCTGGGGAAGTAGGTGAGTCGTGATCACTTATCTAATAAAGGCAGTCAGCCATTTGTAAGCAATTTTTAGATAGCATATTGTATTTGTTAAGAAGCAACAGTTAAGTTATAATAGATTATTTAATCAGATAAAGAAAGGAAATGTATGACTTATGACATATGAGAACACTTTCTACCGATCTGAAGGTGCTCTGGAGAATGGAGAAGCAGGAGTGGTGGATTGCTACAGTTTGGACCGAATTGTTTTGCATTCTTTGGTATTAACAGTCTTTGTTATCCCCTCAAACTTCTGGTGTTCATCCAACAAGGTGATGGCTCATCTCTTCTTTTCTCATTAGACACTGAAATCGTACAAGGTAGCATAGCATCCAATAAATCTTTGACATAAATCCACGTGTCCTCAGTGATTCTTATGACCTTTCCCTTTATTCCCCTCATGCTGGACGTCTTTTTATATTTGTAGAAGGCTCATTACTAATGTAACACGCATGCTTATACAGAAAATACTAAATATGGAGTAGTAAAAGAATTCCGTTTCAAAGAGGAACCCAATTTCCATCATATTGTTTGACTTTTTTAAGTTTACTTTCATCAATGAAATAATCCTACCATACTTACAATAGGTAGAATTTTGACAGTATTTTTGGTAACCGATTAAAAAAGGTTCCTTGTAGTAACGTTGAGAATGCAGTGATTTATCTTCCCGGTTACATTAGAAAGAATAAAACTATTCCTAGACCCATCAAAAGCCAGTAGCCAAGCCAATGAAGCTGGTTTCTTTTGAGCATGTTTCTGTTCACAAATAATTTGAATCTGAAGTGCAGCATAATGGTTCAGTTTTTATCCTCACAATAAAAGCATGGTGCTTACTTAATTTTTAAAGTTATTTTCCTGTTACTGTGATCCAACTGAAAACATTGGAAGTTACAAATGTGGTATTAAAGAGCCACATGCAGCTCTGGAGTCATAGGTTGCAAATTCTTGATCTGAAATCAAGAGGTATGAAATACTAGGTAAGAAGACCAGGTAAAGATGGCAAGTTTACTTCCTGAAGTTAATTTGTAAACAAAATGGGTTTTTATGACAATATAGTAATTTTATGGACTGATGCTAGTTTCTTGTTTCTGATTTGTTTAATTGAATTTGAATCCTCAGTTGCTATAGTGGAAGTTGAACTCGTGTTCGATGAATAACCCAGACTCTGGATTACCAGCTGAGTAACATAATGTCACAACTTTATATCCTCAATTATTAATGTGCTTTGTTTTGTTTTAGATTCAGTCAGTACATGATGTGTTTAACTGAAAAAAGACATGTTGTACAAATATGTCCCAGTTGGAGCATATTCTTTATGCTGAGTACAATTTCAATTTGAGCATTTGAACTTCACATTCTAATGATCAATTATTTGCTTCAACGCTGAAAATAGACTCGGTCGGTGGGCAGAACCACTTCCTAAAGTTCCAAAGTCTTCCAGAAAATTGCACAAACAGGGTGATAAATCCGAGAAAAGCCACTTCTGTATACTGAATGGAAGGGAATGGTGAGGGCCAACTTAGCCGTAGAATATTAGAGATATACAACATGGAAACAGACCCTTCGGCCCAACTTGTCCATGCTAACCAGATATCCTAAATAAATCTCGACCCATTTGTCAGCATTTGGCCCATATCCCTCTAAACGCTTCCTATTCATATACCCATGCAGATGCCTTTTAAATGTTGTAATTGTACCAGCCTACACCACTTCCTCTGGCAGCTCGTTCCATACACGCACCAGCTTCGGCATGAAAAAATTGCCCCTTAGATCCCTTTTAAATCTTTCCCCTCTCAACCTAAACCCATGCCCTCTAGTTTTGGATTCTCTCACCTCAGGGAAAAGATCTTGTCTATTTATTCTATCCATGTCCTTCATGATTTTATAAGCCTCTATAAGGCCACCCCTCAGCCTCTGACGTTCCAAGGAAAATAGCTCCAGCCCGTTCAGCCTCTTCCTATAGCTCAAACCTTCCAACCCTGGCAACATCCTTGTAAATCTTTTCTCAACCCTTTCAAGTTTAACAACATCATTCCTATAGGAGGGAGACCAGAACTGCATGCAGTATTCCAATATTGGCCTAACTAATGTCCTGTGCAGCTGCAACATGACCTTCCAACGCCTATACAGAATACGCTGACCAATAAAGGCAAGCATACCAAATGTCACCAGCACTATCCTGTCTGCCTGTGACTCTACTTTCAAGGAACTACGAACCTGCACTCCAAGGTCTCTTTGTTTCAGCAACACTCCCCAGGACCTTACCATTAAGTGTATAAAAATCCTGCCCATTGAACCCATCTGATCAAGATCCCATTGTACTTGGAGGTAATCTTCACTGCCCACCATACCTCCAGCTTTGGTGTCATCTAGAAACTTACTAACCATACCTCCTATGTTCCGATCCTCGTGGCACACTGCTGATCACAGGTATCCAGTCTGAAAAGCAGCCCTCCACCCTCTGTTTTCTACCTTCAAACCAGTTCTGTATCCAAATAGCTAGTTCTCCCTCTGTTCCATGTGATCTAACCTTGTTAACTAGTCTAACATGAGGAACCTCCAATCATGGACCTCCCCTGGAGGCTGCTGAACAGAAGAGAGAAATACTCTGATATTGGAGGAGCAGTGAGAAATGAAGAAAGTTGTTGCTGGCATTGAGGGAGGCACTAGAGGAACATTCTGCGAGGAATGGGGGCCAAGAGATATGAACAAAGAGCTGGCTTGAGGAGAAGTGAGGATCAGAGCAGAGGGAATGAATGATAAGAGCTGCCTTTTGATGGGGGAGTTGGTGAACAGAGGGTGTGCAAGTCAGGAAATGTGAGGGGGAGAAGGTGGCTACAAAAGGGAATGAGGATGCTGCAGTGGGAGATGTGGTGGAAGAAAGTTGCAAGGGCAGGGATGTGTGAGAAGGTGGCTGCTAGATGAATGTGAGAAGAGAAAGGCTGAAAGGATAAGTGAGGAGAGTAGGAGTCTGCAAGAGGAATGTGGTGATGGAGGACATTGCAAAAGATGTGAGGAAGTAAAGAGTCTGCCAGAAATTTAAAATGGGAAAAGGTGTAAGACAGGTGTAGGGGAAGCTGCAAGAAAAATGTGGGGAGAGAGGTTGGTTGTTAGAGGAAGGTAGAGAGAAGCTGCAAAGCAGAGAGAACAATTTTAAGGAGCAAATTACTGCCAATGCTGAAATCTGTACTGAAAGGTTGCTACCAGATACTGGTTGAACTCTACCAGCATCATTCATGATCCAACTTCATTAAAGACTGGTTCTGTAATCACTGAAATGGCATGCCAGTATCAACTTCTTTTAGAACTGGGTGACTGTTTAACCGGACGTTTATTTTGATTGGTCTGATTTGGATATTGACAAGCAATTTAACTGTTCCAGTTCAGATGTTGGTGCACTCTCCTGCATATTGACTTATGAGTTCTCTTACTCCATTTCATCTAGTGGGACTCCTTTGTTGGCTTGAATCCGCATACTGGCAGCAACTACAATGTTTTGCAGGCCTTGACCTTAAAGAAAATTTTGACCATTTGGCTTTATTTTGGGGTTTTGCTGTGGGCTGATCTAGCCTCTGTTCAAGGTGTGTCCTGAGTGAGGCTGTGTAATTGCCTGCACTCAAGTGGTGTTCCCCAAGCTTAGTTGGATTGGTGAGGGTGTCCACTTTCATAGGAATACCCTGCAACTTATATACTCCACTTGCCACATTTTCCAATTATAAAACTAGTTGTAGCCCTGTTCGAAGACCAGTTGGGCTTCAGCTAGTCAGCACTTTTGCATGGGTACATCATTAATCCTACATACCAAATGGTGTCTCAGCATCTCATGAGAGGTTAAACCAAAGTCGCATGTCTCTGCCAGTTGTCTTAACCTAGACAAAAACCCTGAGACAGATTTACCTACTTCTCAAATTGCCCAGTAAAACCGATAACATCTCAGAATTAGAGGAGGCTTGTGGTCATAATATTCCTTTATTAAATCTGTCAATTCTTTCAAATCTGTCAATTCTTTCCTGCCTCAGGAAAGTCAGGCTCCTAATAAACAAGAATGCTATGGGTCCACAAGCTGTCAGGAGAATTACTTGTCATTTGCCTGGGAAAAAATAATGCGTTCTTTTCATGTGCTGGGCCTAGTCTTCAACAGGAGATTCGAACGACTCAAGACTTCTCAAAACAGTGTGATGCAAGCAATGCTTATCCCAATTCAAAGACAACTGTTGGAGTGAGTTCTTCAGGATGTGCTTTACTCTCATTGCCACTGAAATAACTTCATAGAGCTCGGCATCCTGTCACCAAGTCACCTTTGATTTACACATGGATAGTCCTTGGCACTGATCCAGCTCCCTCTTATTAAGATGTCTGATACTCCTCTTTCTATCTGTCCACAAGGGCTCCCTGATTCCTTTTTTTAACAGTATTAGAATTAGCTTTATTGTTACATGTACTCAAATGAATAAGTCAGCACTTACAGCACCATCTTAAGTACAAGATCCCTCTGTACAGCTTCTTCAGT